TTTAGAGATGAATGACAAGCTAGCATTAGATCTTTGATGGAAATATTTGAATTGCATAGTTGTTTAATGCAAATGAAAGGATTCCCAGACATGCAATTAACTATAATTTTTAGTCTGTCATAAACACACCTTAATAACACATCGTATCTTCTAAAAGTCAGGACAATTGTGATGTCTGAGATTTTTGTTGTGCAAGGTCAATGGCAGTTTACTCAAACCCACTGCGATTATTTCTCTTCAAGCTCCAACGTTCTGCTGATGCATTGATTTGAGTCCATAATTTCTCAAGCTCAGTTTGAACTTCTTTATCTTTTTCTGTGATGGGTTAGAGGTTCGAACTTTAATTCTTGCAAGTGAACAGAAGATTACCGTCGGAACTGCAGGATAGAGCCTGTAAAGTCTCCGTGAGCGTGGCATGAAGATAGTGCATCTGGTCGAGCACCGGATCAGTTATTCTTTCCACGAAACAATCAGGGTTAGCTTCGCTTGCTTGATCTCCCATCACTTCCTCTATTTCCTCAACAATCTTTTGCTGCACTAGGGGATTTTTGCAGAGCATGTAAAGGAACCATGATAAGGTATTTGCACTGGTATCTTTTCCGGCAATCATGAAATTCAGAATTATATCCTTCAAGTACTTCTCGTTCACATTCTCGGGATCTTTCTCGCTCTTGAGCAAAAATCTTGAGAGGATGTCCTCCTTGTCATTCTTGTAGGAAGAAAATAGGGAAAAGGAATAATCAGTCAGAGGAATTGCTCAAGAATAAACCTGGAAAATAGTTCGACTTTGTGATGAAAACAATCTTTAGATGGCGCCACAAGCTTTTCTGGCCAGAAATCCTCTGAAACCTAACTGTACTCGATCTTCTACAGAATTCTTTCAAAGTTATTGTTATTAAAATCTTCCCCAACAAAACATGCCCTAATGCCTCTTCCGAATTTGCATTGCATCTTGGCAGAAGAAGAGCGTAAACTCACAAAATTGAATAGCTAAATGTATGCTAAGTATTCACACCTTCACTAATAAAAAAAAGAAAGTACTCACACGCTCTCACTGCGCTGGGAGGTGATTCCTCTTGGTTCTGATAAGTTGACGCATGAAATTGTCAATAAGTGTAATGTCATTCCTAAAAAGAGCTTCTGAACCGATGTTGAGAAGTCTTTTGAGCTTCCAAGCGGGATCGACATATCGCCGGTAGATTAGCGCATTTGCCTCGTCGGAAGCTTTCATAAAGGCTCTTCCCTCTTTGCTTGATCCTCCCAAGCATTTCAATTCCACACCAAATCCAACTTTGAAGATGGAATCCAAAGTGCATCTCATCAATATATCCTGCCGACACGATTTAAGACAATACCATGAGCAAACTAATGTACAATGCTCTTATACCTTCTTTGGAGTTCTCATTCGTCAAAAGTCGAAACTGCTCACTTGCATATCGAATCCCTCAGAAGCAACCGATAACTCCTCCACGACCTTGACCAGTTTCGCGGCATTCTTCCTGAACACGCAACAGCTAAAATCTCTGAGCACCCTCATTGCAAACTTGAAGCTTGCGACTTTCCTCTGCTTCTTCCACTTCTCTCCATCCACTGCGAAAATCCCCTCCCCAAACAAATCCTTGATTTTATCTATGTTGTACTCTCCTTTTGCGTACTTCTCGAACCGGGTCTTCAATATGTGCTCGACGTTCCTTGGATCGGCCCTGTAAATCACACTCTGGTCCGGCACAAGGAGCCGGAACGTCGGAGATCTCCTCACAGCTCTGGTTTGGTAGTCGTAGAGCCGGTTGAAGGAGATGAGTTGACCGAAGACTATCCCATGAACGGGCGGATACTTAGAGCTTCGGAGGGACTTGCCGGTGAAGGTTTTCAGGAGGAGGAGAGCAAAGGCGATCAAGACAGCAATTGGAACGAGTGCCACGGAGTAGAGCGTTGCAGACAAGATGTCGATGTCCATTTTTTTCGGTGAAGAAGATGGAAGGTGACGACGACGAAGATCAAGTAGATGATGTCCTTGCGTTGATCTGTCTCAAGACTCGACTTCTTCCATTACTTTACTCTGCATTGACAGATTTTAATATGGTGGAAGGAAGAGTAAACTAACGTTTGAGATCGAGATGTGCTTTGGTATTAGGCAGAGATAATGCGTAGGTAGTGATGTGCATGCTCTGCTTTTTATCCGTGTGTTATGGGGGAAGTAAGAAGTAAGAACTCAAATGGCTCACTACTCTTTTGGTTTCAAGTGATTGATGGATGAGAGACGAAGTTACCTTGATCATGAAGAAGGTCGTGAAGCTTCATTTATCATGAACAAAAAGTATGGAAATATAAACCATGAATTTTTTTCGTTTCTTTAATGAAAAATTAAGTGGACATAAGAGCTACATGCATTATAATTACGTTTTGAAATGGGTTGATACCATCAAAAACTGGTACCCATAATACATTTACCTCAAATTATTTTCTATCTCACAGAAAAATTCAAATAGGTACATTCCTGACACATTTACCTGTTTCACAAATAATCTTGAATTGGTATCTCACAACACATTTACCCTAAATTGATTTTCATCTCACAAAAAATTCCAAACTAGTATTTCTAACCCAAATGTACCCTCCACTCGAATGCATATGTATCAAGACATGTAAATTTTCCACATCAGATCAGTCATTCTCTATGTCGGATGTGTCTTGTAGTTGTATGTAGCATGTGTTGTCACGTATGCATTTTTATAGGTTATTTGACAGAAGGGAAAAGTGTCATAAGTCTTAAACTTTTTTTTTGTGCCAATTCATTCATAAACCTTTTGTCTTTATGCCAATTCAGTCCTTTCGGCTAATTTTGGCCGGATTTTGCTGACGTGAACGCCGTCCGGCTTACGTGGCACCGCCGGCGATGACGTGGACAACTTTTAATAATATTTTAATATTTTTTGAATTTTTTTATTTAATTTAATTTAATTTTTTCTTTTTTTCTTTTCTTTCTTTTTCTTTTTTTTTTCTTTCCCTCTCTTCTTCCTCCAGCCGGCTAGGTCCCTCGTCAGCCCTGACCTCCAGCTGGCCGCTGGACCGGCGACTGGCAGGAGGAAGAAAAAAAGAAAAAAGAAATAAACATAAAAAAAAATATTAAAATATTATTAAAAGTTGTCCACGTCATCGCCAGCGGTGCCACATAAGCTGGATGGCATCCACGTCAGCAAAATTCAGCCAAAATTACCCGGAAGGACTAAATTGGCATAAAGACAAAAGGTTTAGGACTGAATTGGCACTAAAAAAGGTTTGGAACTAAATTGACACAAATGCAATAGGTTTAGGACTTTTTTGACACTTTTCCTTTTGACAGAATGTTGATGGATGGCAAATTTAGGTTTGAGGTACCAGTTTGGCTTTTCTTGTGGGACAAAAATCATTTCGGAGTGTGTTGTGGAATACCGGTTTGGAATTTATTATAGATGGAAATTAATTTGGGAAAATGTGTTATGAGGTATCAATTAGAGATTTTTTATGGATCAAAAATTAATTTGGGGTAAATGTGTAACGAGAATAGCTGTTTTAGAATTTTAATGGGATTAGCCCTTTTGGTATTGGTCTTAAGTAGAAACCACCCAACTAGAATAATATGTTAAGCTACTAAACTAAACCAATCAAATCTCATAATACGATTGTATTTCTTTTTTGTGCCTCCCACTATCACGCCTACTATAGTCAAGATCATACAAGAATGTGTTTCAACTTCTAGGTTCTTACTTCTAACTAGGTGAACTCCAACCGCTCCCAAGCTAGTATTATTTCAATAATTGACAAACGGTATTCTTTACGAATCTTTTTGTCGAGAGATTCAAGATCAGGTGGATGAAAACCACAAAGATGATTTCATTCGATAGTAGTAATATCTACATCAAGCCTTAGCTGGGTATGTCGAGATAGTGGTAAACATTACACATTGTAGGCATCGAAGACGAAAGTCGACGTCAACATTCTTTGGTTAATGAATGATTTAGAAGAAAAAATCAGTTAAAATAAACCGAGAATTAGTGGCTCCTATGGCGCACATTAATACTGTAAAACAAGCTCTGTTGCTCACCTTTATTACCCCTTCTGAATGCCCGGAAGGGCCACCAAAACTGACTGTGGGGTGACATTGAAAGCAATTAAAATATAGGGCTAAATCAAATATAAATGAAACAGCAGGGCCCATCGCTAGAATTAGACGCAAAACACAAGACCAACTAAATCAAATGAACGACAAATATTTTCATTTTCATTAAAATGTTTAGATATAAATTATTATTGATAATGAAAACATTTTCTATAGACTCATTATTTCAAGTGGTACAAACAATTATTTTTAGGGTAATGTTATCCATATCATTCATTTTTTGCAAAATGAACAGAGCCCCAGTATCTATGTTTGTTTTCCCTTAGATTTTCATCACGATAAATTTATTTTATCAAAACCATGTATTCAATTGGTCCATGCAATTCTGATGGTGTCAAAATGCTCATCTCAGTATGGTCATGGAGTTAATGAAAACAGAAGCTTCTGCTTGTTATTCCTTGCTTGACTAAATTGGTTTAGAAATGACACCGTGAATATGTACTACAATTCTAGACGAGCCCGATATATTTCTGTTAGTCTCCATGATTAGGATTGTTTCTCCTGTATTTGACTACGAATGTTCTCATGATTAGAAGTCACTCCCTTAAAAACGGAACAGATCACAGAAGCAGTTATCCTGTGAACGTATTAGAATGACGATTTTACATTTTTTCCGATCTTTGTTTTTCTTTCTTTTGTTCCTACACCTGATATTCCGGGAAGCTCGTCAAGTTCTGACTTCTCATTGTTGTTTTGCAGAAGTCTTGGAAGGGTGGGTTTGACTCAAAAGCTACTATCAGTGAAGTTGGAGGTGGTGATGAATACTTAACTGCACCTTGGAACAACGCCGATGAACTCAGCCAGAAGATTGCAGGTAAAAAGAGAAAGCAAAAGGCAAAGAGAGGGCAACCCAAAGATCTTCGATTTCAAGCAGTGGGGTAATTCCAACATTTATGTGCAATAGTAAGATCTTGTGGTGCACATGCTTACTTATAAGTGAAACTAGCATCCAACGTTAGAATTCCATATGTCATGATGGACCATACTCAATAGTCCGGTTCTTATGCAGCCAATCTGGGAACAGCATGGAGATGTAGGCCATTGTCGATATGAAGGGTGAACATGACCTTGTAGGTTACAGGTCTAGTTTCATCAGCTAATCTGAAACGGAAGAAGCGAAGGAGAGCTATTGAAACTATTTTCATCTGGCGATAAGCAAAATCCTTCCCGAGGCAGATCCTAGGACCAGCCTGCAAATAGGAAAGTAAGAGTGTCAATGAAGATGCTTGGAATATGTACACACACTTCGAATAGGAAAGTAAGTAGGAGTGTTACTGGAGATGAAGAAACTAACATTGAATGCAACAAATTTGAAAGGGGATTCGTTTTGGAAAATTCCATCCTTCAACCATCTTTCAGGTTTGAAATCCTCGGCATCTTCTCCCCAGATGTTGTGCATTCTTCCCATTGAGTAAGCCAAGAAATATACGCCGTCCCCTTTTTTCACGTGGAAGCCATCTGGGAGAACATCATCTGCCTCAGCACATCTTCCATCCTGTTGTGCAGAAGTTTGAAAGATCAAAGTTAGCATGTATATATACAAAAAGCCGAATCTTGTTAGATGCCTGTTCTCTTTGGTCTGTGCTTGATTTGTAATTGCTCATCTAATGGATTTGTAGCATCTGCATCGTTACTGATCATGTTTTCTTTAGAAGACTATCGACCCTTGGCATTTTACATTTGAATACCGACTTAAAGGACTAGTTGCATGCTTATAATTCAGTCAGAGGGAGCAGTGGTATTTGTTCACGAATTTAGAGATGAATGATAAGCTGGCATTTGATCTATGATGGAATTATTTGACCTGTATAGTTGCTTAATGCAAATGAAAGGATTCCCGGACATTCACTTAACTATAAGCTTTAGTCCGTCATAAATACACTTCAATAATGCATCGTAGTTTCTAAAAGTCAGGACAATTATGATGTATTAGATTTATTTTGCACGGTCAATGGCCGTTTACTCAGACTCACTGTGATTAACTCTCTTCAAGCTCCTACGTTCTGCTGATGAATTGATTTGAGTTCATAATACATCAAGCTCAGTTGGAACTTTTTTTTTTTATCTTTTTCTGTGATCAGTTAGGCATTTGAACTTTAATTCTTACAAGTGAACAGAAGATTACCGCCGGAACTGCAGGATACAGCCTCAAGGTCTCTGTGAGCGTGGCATGAAGATAGTACATCCGGTCAAGCACCAGATCAGTTATTTTCTCCACGAAATAATCAGCATTAGCTTCACTTACTTGATCTCCAATCACTTCCTTTATTTCATCGAAAATCTTTTGCTGCACTAGGGGGTGTTTGCAGAGCATGTAGAGGAACCATGATAAGGTATTTGCACTAGTATCTTTTCCGGCGATCATGAAATTCAGAATTACATCCCTCAAGTACTTATCGTTCATATTCTCGGGATCTTTCTCGCTCTCGAGCAAAAATCTTGAGAGAATGTCCTCCTTGTCATTCTTGTCGGAAGAAAAAACAAAAAATGAAAAATCACTCAGAGGAATTGCACAAGAAAAAACCTGGAAAATAGTGCAACATTGTGATGAAAACAATCTTTAGTTGGCGCCACAAGTTTTTCTAGCCGAATTCCTCTGAAACCTAAATGTACTTGAGCTTCTACAGATTTCTTTCAAAGTTATTATTACTAAAATCTTCCCCAACATCACATTCCATAATGCCTCTTCTGAATTTGCATTGTGTCTTGACAGAAGAAGAGTGTAAACTTAAAAAAATCGAATAGCTAAACCTACGGTAAGTACTCACACGTTCCCTAATAAAAATCAAAATAAGTACTCACACGTTCTCGCTGTGCTGGGAGTTGATTTCTCTTGGTTCTAATAAGTTGATCCACGAAATTGTTGATGAGTTTAATGTTATTCCTAAGACGGGCTTCTGAACCAATATTCAGAAGTCTTTTGAGCTTCCAAGAGGGATCGACGTATCGCCAGTAGATCAGTGCATTCGCTTCATCAAAAGCTTTCATGAAGACTCTTCCCTCTTTGCTCGATCCTTCCAAGCAATTCAATTCCACACCAAATCCAACTTTGAAGATGGAATCCAAGGTGCATCTCATCAATATATCCTTCAGATAAGATTCAAGACAATACGATAAGCAAAGTAATGAACAATGTCCTGTTACCTTCCCTTATATTTTAAAAACCACTATCAGAAAATGTTCTTTCTTCTACAGTTATAGTTGCCCTCTCTCTCTCTCTCTCTCTCTCTCTCTCTCTCTCTCTCTCTCTCTCTCTCTCTCTCTCTCTCTCTCTCTCTCTCTCTCTCTCTCTCTCTCTCATATTGATTGGGCGGAGGCTGAGGAGGACTGACAACTACCAATTGATGGTCGCTACTATGGTCGAGTGACCTCAACGGTTTTCATCAATCCTAGGTTTCTTTTCAAGACTAGCTATTTCTAACTCTTTAGATTGCATAAATATCCAATCATTTTTCAGACGTAGTTACATTATTTATCAAATCCGGATGACCAACTTAGCAAATTTTGATATTCTATTGCAGATATGTCTTTATGCTAAATTCCATTCAATTAATTTTTCTTTCAAGGTTTTGATCCTTGAAACTACTCACTTGCATATCAAATATCTCGGAAGCAGCCGATAATTCCTCCACGACCTTGACCAGCTTTGCAGCATTCTTCCTGAACACGCAACAGCTAAAGTCTCTGAGCACCCTCGTTGCAAACTCAAAGCTTGCGACCTTCCTCTGCTTCCTCCACTTGTCTCCATCCACCGCGAAAATCCCCTCCCCGAACAAGTCCTTGGCTATATCTATGTTATACTCTCCCTTGGTGTACTCCTCGAACTTGGTCTTCAATATGTGCTCAACGTTCCTTGTATCGACCGTGTAAATCTCACTCTGGTCCGGCGCGAGGAGCCGGAACGTCGGAGATCTCCTCGCGACTCCGGTTTGGTAGTCGTAGAGCCGGCTGAAGTAGATGATTTGACCAAAGACAGTCCCGTGAACGGGCGGATACTTAGAGGTTCGGAGGGACTTGCCGGTGAAGATTTTCAGGAGGAGGAGCACAAAGGCGATGGAGAGAGCGACCAGAACGAGCGCCATGGAGTAGAGCATCGCAGACACGATGTTGATGTCCATTTTTTTTGTGTGAATAAGATGGAAGGTAATGAGGATGAAGATCAAGAAGATGACATCCTTGCCTAAATTTATTTCTCAAGACTCTTGACTTTGTCCATCTGTTTGCTTAGCATTTGCAGGTTTTAATAGTGTGGAAGGAAGAATTAATTAATGTATGTGATTGAGATGTGCTTAGGTGGGAAGCAGAGATTATGCCTAGAAATTGATGTGCAAGTTCTGGTTTTATCCGTGGCTTACCACTCTTTTGGCTTCAAGTTCTTGATGGATGAGATCATGAGAGACGAAGTTAATCTTGATCATGATGAAGGTCGTTTTAGCTTCTTTGATCGTAAACAAAAGTTATAGGAATATGAACCATGAAAATTTTTGGTTCGCTGAAAATAGTGAGCCGATTACACGCAAGATCATGCAAGAATGCATTTCAACTAATAGGGTTTTATTTCTAACTCGGTGAAAATTGAACCGCTCCAAAGCTGGTATTATTTTGATAATGATGAATAGTATTCTCTACGCATCTTTTCGGTTGAAAGATTCAAGATCGGATGAATGGAAAATATAAAAGAATTTTCATTCAGTAGTATCTGTATCTAACTTTAGCTGGGCATGTTGAGATAGTAATAGACATTATACATCGTAGGCATCGGAGGCGAAAGTCAACGGGCGTTGCTTGGTTAATGAGTGATTTAGACGGAAAGATCATGTAAAATAAACCAAGAATCGGTGGTTCCTATGCGGCACATGAATATTATAAAACAAACTTTGTTGCTGACCTTTTTCTTCTCCATGCCCAGAAGGGCCACCAAAACTGAGGGGTAACATCGAAAGCAATTAGAAGTATGGGGGTAAATCTAAAATAAATGAAACAGTAGGGACCATCACCAGAATTACACGCAAAACGCAGGACCGACAATCAATTTTCTCATTTTTCCCCCCAAAAAAATTCTTGTTCTTCTTGCCCAAGCGTCTGCTTCAGAGAGATAGTAGATAGTCAAATAAGTAAGAGCTATTATTTTGGATGAAATCTATGGTCAAATAAGTAAGGGCTAGTAGATGGTCAATTTAGACTCATATCTGACTTGCTTCTTGTGCTAGGGATTCACGGTAGTTCCCAGATCATTTTCTTTGCATATACCTCATTCTGACCGTCTTTCTGAGTATGATCTTAGATTTTTCTATTTAGGCATAGCGAATCAAGAAGAAAGAAACATAAGAAGGGCAATGATGAGAATGGCATGGACTTTCCCGGACATGGGAAGGTCAAATTTGGAGAGGCTGTTGAAACTCCGCCCAAATTGGCCATGATCCCTAAAGAGTAGTGTTCCTATGTTTTGCTGGTGACTAATGCTGCAGATTTTGAAATTAGTTGTTTCATTCCTGCCTACCCTTTAAATTCTTTTCATTTTGATTTGGGTGAAGACATTGAAGATGCTGCAAAATGCATGCCAACAGCGACTTCGATTACTGGCCATTGAGGTGAATAGAAATCGCAAATGATGGGCAGCCAGGCCCGGAAGCCAACTTCCTTTGTAAATAGGTTCACTATCGTTGTGAACTTCTTTAGAACACTATATTGGCCATATGTTTTAAAGCAAATTATGATGGAATTCTGTAGTTTTAGTTTTGCTTGTTATAGTGAGTTTTGAGAGATCTAGTTTTTGTCACAGGATATCTCATTTCTTTCATCACCGGAGAACCATTCTTCTTTCCCTAATTTTGTGATAGTTTAGACATTTTACCAAGTGCTTTGCTACACATAACAGGAAAACTTGTTCTCGGTACATGTTCTTGAAAATAGGTCCAGCTCAGCCGAAGCCAAAGAGCTGATTATTGGATCGATATGTCAATGGTATCATGGAATGCTGGATGGCTAATTATTGATGAGCTTGAAAACCATCTTAGTTCTAGGGACATATCAGCTTGTTAGCCTCTCAGAGGTCATATGAAAATAAGATATTATTGGCATTGTCACAAAGCCTGACGAACTTATAACTTCACATTATTTACGGAATTTAAGTAGAACACCTTAATATTCCAACCTTTACATGCAATAGTAAGATCCTGTAGTGCACATGCTTACTTATCAGGGAAAACTGCTAACATCCAACATTGGAAATCCATGTGTCGCGATGGACCATACTCAATGATAGTCCAGCTCTTATGTAGCCAATCTGGGAACAGCACGAAGATGTAAGCCGTTGTCGATGTGAAGGGTGAACATGACCTTGTAGGTTACAGGTCTTTCATCCGCTAATCTGAAACGGAAGAAGCGAAGGAGAGCTATTGAAACTATTTTCATCTGACGATAAGCGAAATCCTTCCCGAGGCAGATTCTAGGACCAGCCTGCGAATAGGAAAGTAAGAGTGTCACTAAAGATGCTTGGAATATGTACACACATTTCGAGTATTCAATTCACTAGGACTTAGGATGGAGAAACGAACATGGAATGCAACAAATTTAAAAGGTGACTCTTTTTGGAAAATTCCATCCTTCAACCATCTTTCAGGTTTGAAATCCTCGGCATCTTCTCCCCATATGTTATGCATTCTTCCCATTGAGTAAGCCAAGTAATTAACGTTGTCCCCCTTTTTCACGTGGAAGCCATCTGGGAGAACATCATCCGTCTCAGTACATCTTCCATCCTGTTGTGCAGAAGTGTGAAAGATCAAAGTTAGAATGTATCAATACAAAAGCCGAAGCTTGTTAAATGCGTGTTCTCTTTGGCTTGTGCTTTATTTGTAATTGCCAATCTGATGGATTTCTAGCATCTGCTGGTGTTGCTGATCATGTTTTGTTCAGAAGAATATTGACTCTTTTGCATGGCATTTGACATTTGAATATGATTTAAGGACTAGTTGCATGATCTCAATACAGTCAGGGTAGCAATAGTATATGTTCGTGAATTTAGAGATGAATGAAAAGCTAGCAATTCTTTACCCAAAAATTAATGAAAAGCTAGCAATTGATCAGTGATGAAAAAAGGTGACCTGTATAGTTGTTTATGGAAATGAAAGGATTCCCAGACATGCACTTAAGTAAGATTTTTAGTCTGTCATAAATACACTTGGATGATGCGTCGTAGCTTCTAAAGTTGGGAAAATTGTGATGTTTTGTAATGCAAGGCGAATGGCGATTTACTCAGACCCTTTATAATTGGCTGTCTCCAAGCTCCAATGTTCTGCTGATGTATTGATTTGAGTTCATAATATCTCGAGTTAAGTTTGAACTTGTTGTTTTCTTTTTCTGTGATCAATTAGGTTGAACTTTAATTCTTACAAGTGAACAGAAGATTACCAGTGGGACTGCAGGATACAGCCTCAAAGTCTCTGTGAGTGTGGCATGAAGGTAGGGCATTCGGTCAAGCACCGGATCAGTTATTCTTTCCATGAATCCATCTGGGTTAGCTTCACTTGCTTGATCTCCAATCACTTCCTTTATTTCGTCGACAATCTTTTGCTGCACCAGGGGGTGTTTACAGAGCATGTAGAGGAACCATGATAAGGTATTTGCACTAGTATCTTTTCCGGCAATCATAAAATTCAGAATTATATCCCTCAAGTACTTCTCGTTCATATTCTCGGGATCTTTCTCGCACTCGAGCAAAAATCTTGAGAGAATGTCCTCCTTGTCATTCTTGTAGGAAAAAAAATGGGAAAATGAAACATCAGCCTGGGGAATTGCTAAGGAAAAGACCTGGAAAATAGTAGGACTTTGTCATGAAAACAATCTTTAGATGGTGCCACAAGTTTTTCTGTTCAGAATTCTTCCTCTCAATATAGTTCTCCAGCTTCTACAGAATTCTTCCACAGTTCTTGTTATTAAAATCTTCCCCAACATCACATGCCATAAAGCCTCTTCTAAATTTGAATGGTGGCTTGACAAAAGAAGAGCGCGGACTTCAAAAATCAAACAGCTAAACGCACACTAAGTACTCACACGTTCACTAAAATTAAAAAAAGAAGTACTCACACGCTCTCGTTGCGCTGCGAGTTGATTCCTCTTGGTTCTGATAAGTTGATGCACGAAATTGTCGATGAGTTTAACGTTATTCCTAAGACGAGCTTCTGAACCGATGTTGAGAAGTCTTTTGAGTTCCCAAGAGGGATCGATATATCGCCAGTAGGTTAGTGCATTCGCCTCATCAAAAGCTTTCATGAAGGCTCTTCCCTCTTTGCTTGATCCTTGCAAGCAATTCAATTCCACACCAAATCCAACTTTGAAGATGGAATCCAAAGTGCATCTCATCAATATATCCTACACACAAGATTGAAGACAATATGATGAGTAAAATAAGGTACAATGATCTGTGACCTTCTCTTCTATTTTAAAGACCATTATCAGGAAATGTTCTTTCTTTACTGTTATGGTTGCCACTATCCATCAAGCATGGATTACCAATTTATTATATTTCGATATTGTGTTGCAAATATGCAGTCCTTACGTTCGATTCCATTCAATTTGTCTTTCCCGGTGGAATTGATCCTCGTGGAGTTCTCAATCTTCAAAAATTGAAACGACTCACTTGCATATCGAATCCCTCTGACGCAGCTGATAACTCGTCCACGACCTTGACCAGCTTCGCAGCATTCTTCCTGAACACGGAACAGCTAAAATCTCTGAGCACCCTCGTCGCAAACTCGAAGCTCGCCACCTTCCTCTGCTTCTTCCACTTCTCTCCATCCACCACGAAAATCCCCTCCCCGAACAAATCCTTCATTATTTCTATGTTAAACTTTCCCTTCGTGTACCTATCGAAGTTGGTCTTCAATACGTGCTCGACGTTCCTCGGATCGGCCGTGTAGATCTCACTCTGATCCGGCGCGAGGAGCCGGAACGTCGGAGATTGCCTCACGACTCCAGTCAGGTAGTCGTAGAGCTGGTTGAAGTAGATGAGCTGAACGAAGACAGTCCCGCGAACGGGCGGATACTTAGAGCTCCGGAGGGACTTGCCAGTGAAGGTTTTCAGGAGGAGGAGAGCAAAGGCGACGGAGAGAGCGATCGGAACGAGTGCCACGGAGTAGAGCGTCGCAGACACGATGCTGATGTCCATTTTTTTTGGTGAAGAAGATGGAAGGTGATGAGGATGAAGATCAAGTAGATGATGTCCTTGCGTTGATTTATGTCTCAAGACTCTTGACTTTTGTCCATTTGTTTCACTTGGCACTGTAGAGTATGATCATGTCGGAAAGGATGTGCATGTTCTGGTTTTATCCGTTTGTTGTGGGGGAAGTCGAGCACTCAGATGGCCGGCCACTCTTGGTCATGAAGCTTCAAGCTTTAGTTACCATGAACAAAGCATATAAGTATAAACCCTCAAATTCTTTTATCTTTGTTATGGAAAAAGAAAAGAATTACGCATAATATGGTTATTTTCCTTGGTTTTTTCCCTCCCCCTTATCACGCCTACTGTAGTCAAGGTCATCATACAAGAATGTTGTTTCAACCTCTAGGGTTTTATTTCTAAGTAGGTGAACTTGAACCATGTGAAAGCTAGTATTGTTTCAATGAATGATAAATAGTATTCTCTACGCATCGTTTTGCTCGAGAGATTCAAGATCCGGTGAATGGAAATTATGAAGATTACTCCATTCAATAGTATTTCGATTTGTCTTTAGCCGGACATGTCGAGATAGTGATACAAAAGTAAATATTGTACGCATCGGAGACGAAAGGGGACGGGAGATATTCTTTCGTTAATAAATGATTTAGAGGGGGGAAATCAGTTAAAATAAACCAAGAAATGGTGGATCCTGTGCGGCACATGAATATTATAAAAAAAGCTTTGTTGCTCACCTTTTCTTCTCCTTCTGAATGCCCAGAAGGGCCACCAAAACTGACAGAGGGGTGCAATTGAAAGAGATTAGAAAGCACGAGGCTAACTTTAATATAAAATGAAGCATTAGGGACTATCACTAGAATTACACGCAAATCACAGGACCAACAATCAATTTGCTCTCCCCTCCCCACCCCCCCAAAGAAAATAGTTCTTGTTCTTCGTCGCCAATCATCCTCTGCAGCAGAGCAGAGCAGGGCAGAGCAGAGAGGCAGAGAGAAGAATTACAGGGTGGCTCGCGGTGGAAGCACCGCCAATCATCTCCTTCGCTTCCTCTCAACCTCCGCGTGTTGCTTTCCACTTTTACATTGTTGATGGCACCAAGATTTCAGTTTCCATGTTTTGTCAATGCCCTTTTTAAGCTGATGGTAGTAAGATAAAGTCGAGATTGTTGCCGCTAGAAGAGATTCCGTCTTTTGTAGGGATTTTGGGATTGAATAAAGATGAACATGATGAAATGTGGCTCGTACCAGAAGAGGGTCATTCAGACTGTCTTTTTGAGTATGATATTATATTTGTCTACTCGGGTATAGGGAATCAAGAAGAAAGAAACGCAAGAAGGCCAATGATGAGGATCACATGGATTTTCCTGGACATGAGAAGGTCACATTTAGAGAGGTTGTTGAAGCTCCGCCCAAATTGGCTGTAATCCCTAAAGTAGTGTGCTATGTTTTGCTGGTCAATTAACTAATGCTGCAGATTTTGAAAATAGTTGTTTTGTTTTGGGTGAAGGCAATGAAGACCCTGCAAAATGCATCCCAACAGAGACTTCGTTTACAGGTTATTGTACAAATATTGCAAAGGATGGGCAGCTAGGTTCGCCACCCTACTTCCTTCGACAATAGGTTCTTCATTCTCTTTTTCATTGTGACCTTCTTTTGAACAATATATCGGCCACATGTTTTGGGGCAATTTATGATGGCATTCTGTATTTTTCCTTTATGATTATTGTAGTGTTGGTTTTGAGATATCTAGTTTTGTCGTAGGACATGGACATCTCATTTCTTTTATTGCAAGAGGAGAACCGTTTTTCTTTCCCTTATTTTGTGATAGTTTAGACATTTAACCAAGTTTTTTACATGAGAGGAAACTTGTTCTCGGTATATAGACTTATGAATAGGTCCGGCTCAGCCGAAGTCAATCAACAAATTATCAGATTGGTATGTCAATGATATCATGAATTGTGGGATTGCTGATTGTTAGATGAGCTTGAAAACCATTTCAGTTCTAGGGACATGTCAGCTTGTTAGCCTCTCAGAGGATTTATGAAAATAAGATAATAATAGCATTGTCGCAAAGCCTGACGAACTTATAACGTCAAATTATGTACAGAATTCAAGCAAATCACTCTACCATTCCAGCGTTTACATGCAACAGTAAGATCTTGAAGCACACATGCTTACTTATCAGTGAAAACCGCTAGCATCCAACATTATAAATCCATAGTTTTGCGATGGACCATACATAATGATAGTCCTGCTCTTATGTAGCCAATCTGGGAACAGCACGAAGATGTAAGCCATTGTCAATGTGAAGGGTGAACATGACCTTGTAGGTTACAGGTCTAGTTTCATCAGCTAATCTGAAACGGAAGAAGCGAAGGAGAGCTATTGAAACTATTTTCATCTGGCGATAAGCGAAATCCTTCCCGAGGCAGATTCTAGGACCAGCCTGCAAATAGGAAAGTAAGATTGTCACTTGAAGATGCTTGGAATATGTATACACGCTTAAAATATTCAATTTAGATGGACTTAGGATGGAGAAACGAACATGGAATGCAACAAATTTGAAAGGTGATTCATTTTGGAAAATTCCATCCTTCAACCATCTTTCAGGTTTGAAATCCTCAGCATCTTCTCCCCAGATGTTATGCATTTTTCCCATTGAGTAGGCCAAGTAATATACGCCGTCCCCTTTTTTCACGTGGTAGCCATCTGGGAGAACATCATCTGCCTCAGCACATCTTCCATCCTGTAGTGCAACAGATGTATACAAGATCACAGTTAGCATGTATTGATACAAAACCGAATGTTAAATGCATGGTCTCTTTGGCTTGTGCTTGATGTGTAATTGCCAATCTGATGGATTTATAGCCTCCGAATTGTTACTGATCATGTTTTGATCAGAAGGAAGTCGACTCTTTTGCATTGCATTTTACATTTGAATTTGACTTAAGGACTATTTGCATGATCATGATGCAGTCAGAAGGGTAGCAGCAGTATTTGTTCATGAATTTAGAGATGAATGAAAAGCTAGCATTTGATCTGTGATGGAAAAATGTGACTTGTATAGTTGTGTAGTGCAAATGAAAGGATTCCCGGACATGCATTTAGCTATATCTTTTAGTCTGTCAAAAATACACTTCGATAATGCATTGTAGCTTCTATAAGTCAGGACAATTGTGATATATTAGATTTTTACTCTGCAAGGCCAAAGGCGATTTACTCGGACCCACTGTGATTAGCTCTCTCCAAGCTCCAAGTTCTGCTGATGTATTGATTTGAGTACATAATATCTCAAGCTCAGTTTTGCTTTTTTTTTTTCTTGTTTTGTGATAGGTTAGAGGTTTGAACTTTAATTCTCACAAGTGAACAGAAGATTACCACAGGGACTGCAGGATACAGCCTCAATGTCTCTGTGAGTGTTGCATGAAGATAGTGCATTCGGTCGAGCACCGGATCAGTTATTCTTTCCACAAAACAGTCAGGGTTAGCTTCACTTGCTTGATCTCCAATCACTTCCTTTATTTCGTCGACAATCTTTTGCTGCACTAGGGGGTGTTTGCATAGCATGTAGAGGAACCATGATAAGGTATTTGCACTAGTATCTTTCCCAGCGATCATGAAATTCAGAATTATATCCCTCAAGTACTTATCATTCATATTCTCGGGCTCTTTCTTGCTCTCGAGCAAAAATCTCGAGAGAATGTCCTCCTTGTCATTCTTGAAGGAAAAAAAGGGAAAAGGAAAAATCAGTCAGAGGAATTGCCAAAGAGAAAACCTGCAAAACATTACGGGTATATGATGAAAACAATCTTTAGATGGTGCCAAGAGTTTTTTTAGCCAGAATTCCTCCTCTGAAAACTTTAATGTACTTGAGCTTCTACAGAATTCTTCCATAGTTCTTATTATTCAAATCTTCCCCAACATTACATGTCCTACTGCCTCTTCCAAATTTGAGTTGTGGCTTGACAAAAGAAGAGCGGAAACTTCAAAAATTGGATGGCTATATGTACACTAAGTACTCTCCAATGAAAAAAAAGAATGTACTCACACGCTGTACTGGGAGTTGATTCCTCTTGGTTCTGATAAGTTGGTGCACGAAATTGTCGATGAGTTTGATGTTATTTCCAAGACGAGCTTCTGATCCGATTTTGAGAAGTCTTTTGAGATTCCAAGAGGGATCTACATATCGCCAGTAGATTAGTGCATGCGCCTCATCAAAAGCTCTCATGAAGGCTCTTCCCTCTTTGCTTGATCCATCCAAGCAATTCAATTCTACACCAAATCCAACTTTGAAGATGGAATCCAAAGTGCATCTCATCAATATATCCTACAGACACGATGATGTAAGACAATACAATGAGCAAACTAATGTACAATGTTCTGTTACCTTCTCTTTTATTCTAAAGACCATTGTCAGGAAATGTTTTTTCTTGTACTGTTATGTTCTCTCTCTCTCTCTCTCTCTCTCTACTCTTTAGATTGCATCCATATCCAATCATTTTTCACACAAAGTTACACTATCTATCAAATCTGGAAGACCAACTTTGGTGTATTACGATATTGTTGTAAATATGCAGTCTTTATGTTTGGTATCATTCAAGTTATCTTTCACAGTGGTTTTGATCCTCATGGAGTTCTCCTCCTTCAAATATAAAAAATACTCACTTGCATATCGAATCCCTCAGAAGCAGCCGATAACTCCTCCACAACCTTGACCAGCTTCGCAGAATTCTTTCTGAACACGCAACAGCTAAAATCTCTGAGCACCCTTGTTGCAAACTCAAAGCTCGCGACCTTCCTCTGCTTCTTCCACTTCTCTCCATCCACCGCGAAAATACCCTCCCCGAACAAATCCTTGACTATATCTATGTCATACTCTCCCTTTGTGTACTTCTCGAACTTTGTCTTCAATATGTACTCAACGTTCCTTGGATCAGCCGTGTAAATCGCACTATGGGCCAGCGTGAGGAGCCGGAACGTCGTAGTTCTCCTTGCGACTTCAGTTTGGTAGTCATAGAGCCGGTTGAAGTGCGCGGTTAGACCAAAGACCGTCCCGTGAACGGGCGGATACTTGGAGCTTCGGAGGGACTTGCCAGTGAAGGTTTTCAGGAGAAGGAGAGCAAAGGCGACAGAGAGAGCGATTGGAACGAGTGCCACAGAGTAGAGCATCACAGACACAATGTTGATGTCCATTTTTTTTTGCGAAGAAGATGGAAGGTAATGACTATGAAGATCAAGCATATGATATTCTTCCGTTGATATATGTGTCAAGACTATTGACTTTTCCTTTTGTTTTACTTATTATAATAATGCGGAAGGAAGATTTAAACTAATGATTGTGATTGAGATGTGCTTAGGTGTTAAGCTGAGATTCTGAGTAGGAATTGATGTGCATGTACTGGTTTCATCTGTTTGTTGTGGGGGAAGTCATAATTCAGATGGCTTGCCACTCTTTTGGTTTTAAGTGCTTGGTGCATGCGATGAGAGATAAAGCCATCTTATTCATGATGAAGGCCGTGAAGCTTCAGTTATAGTTAACATGGAAAATTAACTGGACATAAAAGCTATATGCATTCTGATTACGTTTTGGAATTGGTCTAAGTAGAAACCTCCCAACAAGATAGAGTTCTACTCAAATTTTTAAAAGTTTCTTGAGTCGTGTTAAGGTACTAAACTAAACCGAATGAACCTGATAATTGGTGGTTCCTCCGCGGCACATGAATATTATAAAACAAGCTATGTTGTTATTCTAGTGAAAAGAATGAGAAAGGTGGCAGATTTGATAGCTTACAGTTCACAATTAACTGAGTGGTCAAATTTTCTAATGATATTTCTAGTTAAGAAAGGTTCATTATGACAGACACTATAGGCAGAACCATACACAGCCCAGTGATATTAATAGGATCAACTTGCTTCTGTGCTCAAGCACAAACTTCACATTATTCTTTTATGTTGGCCATTCTCATGCTACCAAAGGTCACCTTCATAGAATTACAAATGTCCGGTTCTCCCAAAATGATGGAATTCATACAAGTACATGCTTTTCGGCAAAGATATTAGGTAGGTTATCCATTTTTCGATCCTATCAACAGTGCATAAATGGAGGCCATTGTCAATGTGAAGCGTGAACATGAATTGGTCCAGCTCAGCCAAAGCCAATCAGCTGATTATCAGAGTGGTATGTCAATGGTATCATGAAGTTCTGGATGGCTGTTTATTAGATGAGCTTGAAAACCAACTCAGTTCTAGGGACATATCAGCTTATTAGCCTCTCAGAGGCATTATGAGAATAAGATTTTACTAGTATTGTCACAAAGCCTGACAAACTAATAACTTCAAATTTACAGAATTTAAGCAATACACCTTAATATTCCTACTTTTACATGCAATAGTAAGATCTTGTAGCGTACATGCTTACTTACCAGTGAAAACCACTGGCATCCAACATTGGAAATCCATATGTCGCAATGAACTATACTCAATGATAGTCCAGCTCTTATGTATTCAATCTGGGAATAGCACGAAGATGTAAGCCACTGTCGATGTGAAGGGTGAACATGACCTTGTAGGTTACAGGTCTATTTTCATCAGCTAATCTGAAACGGAAGAAGCGAAGGAGAGCTATTGAAACTATTTTCATCTGGCGAAGAGCAAAATCCTTCCCAAGGCAGATCCTAGGACCAGCCTGGATATTCAAAAGTAAGAGTGTCACTGACGATGCTTGGAACGTATACACATGCTTTGAATATTCAATTTGCGAGGACTTAGGATGGAGAAACGAACATGGAATGCAACAAATTTAAAAGTGATTCTTTCTGGAAAATTCCATCCTTCAACCATCTTTCAGGTTTGAAATCCTCGGCATCTTCTCCCCAGATGTTATGGATTCTTGCCATTGAGTAAGCCAAGTAATTAATGTCATCCCCCCTTTTCACGTGGAAGCCATCAGGAAGAACATCATCTGTCTCAGCACATGTTCCATCCTGTTGTGCAGAAGTGCAGAAGATCGAAGTTAGCATGTACTGATACAGAAGCCGGAACTTGTTAAATGCATATTCTCTTTGGCTTGTGCTTGATTTGTACTTTCCAATCCGATGGATTTCTAGCATGTGCATTGTCACTGATCATCTTTGGTTCAAAAGAATATTGACTCTTTCGCATGGCCATTTACATTTGAATGCGACTTACGGACTAGTTGCATGATCATAATGCAGTCGGAAGGGTAGCACTAGTATTTGTTCCAGAATTTAGAGATAAATGAAAAGCTAGCATTTGATCTGTGAGGGAAAAATGTTAACTGTATAGTTGCTTAATGCAAATGAAAGGATTCCCGGACATGCACTTAACTAAAATTTTTAGTCTGTCATAAGTACACTTCGATGATGGCCAATGGCAATTTACTCAGACCCGCTGTGATTAGCTCTCTCCAAGCTCCGACGTTCTGCTGATGTATTGATTTAAGATCATAATATCTCAAGCTCAGTTTGAACTATTTTATTTTCTTTTTCTGTGATCGGTTAGAGGTTTGAACTTTAATTCTAACAAATGAACTGACGTTCACCAGCGGGACTGCAGGATACAGCCTCAAAGTCTCTGTGAGTGTGGCGAGAAGATAGTGCATTCGGTCGAGCACCAGATCAGTTATTCTTTCCACAAAACTATCAGGGTTAGCTTCACTTGCTTGATCTCCAATCACTTCCTTTACTTCGTTGACAATCTTTTGCTGCACTAGGGGGTGTTTGCAGAGCACGTAGAGGAACCATGATAAGGTATTTGCACTAGTATCTTTTCCGACGATCATAAAATTCAGAATCATATCCCTCAAGTACTTATCATTCATAATCTCGGGATCTTTCTCGCTCTCGAGCAAAAATCTTGAGAGAATGTCCTCCTTGTCATTCTTGTAGGAAAAAATAGGGAAAAGAAAAAATCAGTCAGAGGAATTGCCAAAGAAAAAACCTGGAAGATAGGACAACTTTGTGATAAATTAGATGGTGCCACAAGTTTTCCTAGCCACAATTCTTGCTCTCAAAACAAACTGTACTTGACCTTCTACCGAACAAGTTCTTGTTATTAAAATCTTCCGCGACATCACATGCCATAATGCCTCTTCCAAATTTGAGAGGTGGCTTGACAAAAGAAGTGCGTGAACTCAACAAATCGAATAGCTAAACATACACTAAGTACTCACACATTCACTAATAAAATTGAAAAGTACTCACTCGTTCTCACTGCGCGGCGAGTTGATTTCTCTTGGTTATGATAAGTTGATGCATGAAATTGTCGATGAGTTTAATGTTATTCCTAAGACGAGCTTTTGAACCGATGTTGAGAAGTCTTTTGAGCTCCCAAGAGGGATCGATATACCGCCAGTAGGTTAGTTCATTCGCCTCGTCAAAAGCTTTCATGAAGGCTTTTCCCTCTTTGCTTGATCCTTCCAAGCAATTTCAATTCCACACTAAATCCAACTTTGAAGATGGAATCCAAAGTGCATCTCATCAGTATATCCTTCAGACACAATTTAAGACAGCACGATGAGCAAAGTAATGTACAACGATCTGTTACCTTCTTTTTTTTATTCTAAACACCATTATCGGGAAATGTTCTTTACCACGTGATGGTCGCTGCTATCGTCGAGTGACCACAACGGTTTTTGTCTATCCTAGGTTTCTCTTCAAGACTAGCTATTTCTAACTCTTTAGATTGCACACATATCCAATCATTTTTCAGACAAAGTTATATTCTCTATCAAACCCGGATGACCAACTTTAGTGTATTTCGATATTCTGTTGGCAATATGCAGTCTTTGTGTTCGATTCGATTCAACTTATCTTTTTTTCACAGTGATTTTGATCCTCGTGGAGTTCTCATTCTTCAAAGATCGAAACTACTCACTTGCATATCGAATCCCTCGGAAGCAGCCGACAACTCCTGCACAACTTTGACCAGCTTCGCAGCATTCTTCCTGAACACGCAGCAGCTAAAATCTCTTAGCACCCTCGTCGCAAACTCAAAGCTCGCGACCTTCCTTTGCTTCTTCCACTTTTCTCCATCCACCGCGAAAATCCCCTCCCCAAATAAATCCTTCATTATATCTATGTTATACTTTCCCTTCGTGTATTTATCAAAGTTGTTCTTTAATATGTGCTCGACATTCCTCGGATCGGCCGTGTAAATCTCACTCTGGTCCAGCGCGAGGAGCCGGAACGTCGGAAATTTCCTCGCGACTCCAGTTAGGTAGTCGTGGAGCCGGTTGAAGTAGACGAGTAGACCAAAGACCGTCCCTTGAACGGGCGGGTACTTGGAGCTTCGGAGGGACTTGCCGGTGAAGGTTTTCAGGAGGAGGAGAGCAAAGGCGATGGAAAGAGCGATGGGAACGAGTGCCGCGGAGCAGAGCGTCGCAGACACTATGTTGATGTCCGTTTCTTTTTTCGTGAAAAAGATGGAAGGTAATGACGATGGAGATCAAGTAGATGATATCCTAGCGTTAATTTATATCTCAAGATTCTTGACTTTTCCATTCCTTTACTTAGCACTTAATCATCTGAGTTCTTGACTTCTGCCACAGAAAACAGGTAAAACCAGAAACGGCACATAGATTCCTAGGCATGATCTCTGCTTAACACCCAAGTTCTTGACATTATGGACAGAACCCTCGCTTCATATAGGCTTAAGCACAAGCTTTGACAATAGTCTTTTATGTTGGCCATTCTAATGCTACTAAAGGTCGACTTCCTAGGATTACAAATGTCTAGTTCCCCCAAAATGATGGGATTCGTATGAATACATCTTTTTCGGAAAAAAGATTAGGGAGATAAGGACACTAAAAGTGCCAACAGTTGTATACGGCACTCTCTTCAGTATCAAAAGTTTTCAACTGATCATTTTAAGTGCTAAACTGGCAAAAAAACGATCACTTAAATGTCAACGGCGAGAAATTCCAATCAAAATTAATACGTGACTTTTTTAATTAAAATTTTAATATGAGTCGGCATTTTGAAAAAAGAATGGTCCACGTGACATTTGCATGTGTACATTTCTCCTCCTCTCCCTCCACGTCATTTTTTTTTCTATTTTTTTCTTTTCTTTTCTCCTTCTGCATTCTTGCTGCTTCTTCGTTTTCTTCTTGTCGCGACCAACCCCAACTCACCTTTGCCGTTGCCAATCACCAGACCACCGCCACCAAAACATCACGCCGATCACCATTTTCGCCGGCTAATAAGGATCTCACGACAATGGTTTTGAACATGGGGCATCGCCGGAAAATGGGTAGGGACTATGGCGTAGGTGGTCATCCATGGCCAACGCCGGGAATCGAAGGACATGCCATAGAACCATAGGGAATCATAGATTTAGACATAGTTTTAGCTATCAATGAAGAAATCGTGAATCAATCCTAACTCTGAACATCGATTTCATGAAAACAACTTTGTTAGCTCTTTCAGGCAAATCGTCAAACACATGCTAGGCGTTTTAAAAGTTAAGTTTTGGACTTGATTTCAATGTATTTCTTAGCCTAAACATAGTATGCAGAGTCTTAAATCATCTCTATTCGTCACAAATCCATATCATTCTGTCACGATTTGCTCATGATTTAACTTTGAATCCAACGATTGAGAAGCGCTCCAAGATCGAGCAAAAGCAAATCCAGAAGCTTCGCGAGCAAGAGAAGCGCGAGCTTGGGGCCAAATCCCACCGCCAATAATCTTTCTCCAATGCCGCCTCCAAGCCCAATCCCTCCTCCTCCTTCATGTGATGTTGCAGAGCTCAAACGAAGAAATGGAGGAGAGAGAGAGAGAGGGGGGGGGAAGAGAGAGAGAGAGGCAGATGAATGTCGTTTTGGGTTGTACAGGTAGATGAAACTGGATAAATGACGTCGTTTTGGGATTTTCATGCTGATTTAAACCTCCGGCTAGCCACGTCGGTTTAAGATATTAACAAAAAAAGGCCACGTCATATTTTCTGCCAAACTGATCGGAGTTGGCACTGAAATGATTATTTTTTAAAAAAATTAACACTTAAGTGATCCAAAAAAACTTTTGGCACTAAAGTGAGTACCATACACTACTTTTGACATCTCTAATGTCTTCTCTTAAAGATTAGGTATGCTGTCCATTTTCGATCCTAGCGACAGCGCATAGATGTAGGCCATTGTCAATAGAGCGTGAACATGAGCCCTCTGTAAAGCCATCACCATATGTTTCTTTGACTATAGATTTTCCGTTGTCTTGCTTTTCAAGCAATAGACAACAAAATTCCATGCCTCCACACGGGCAAAAAGACCAGCAACATGCGTATGGCGTGAAATTGGGGATATGGACTTGACATTTTCAGTTGAAAGATTGCCAATCCACCAATGTTTCGGTCAGTCAGGAAGAATATGGCTTGGAGTTTCATTTCAATAGCGACACGCCTTGAAGTCTATGTTTTTGCGATCGATGCACTTCATCGTCTTTCTTTTTAGGGATAAGTGCATTCAAAGTCTTAAAACTTATCACGAAAGTGCAATTGAGTCCTAAAACTTTCAAAAAGTGCAAACAAGTCTTAAAACTTATCACGAAAGTGCATTTGAGTCCTAAAACTTTCAAAAGTGCAAACAAGTCCTAAAACTTGTCACGAAAGTGCAAACAAGTCCTAAAACTTGTCAAATTGGTTCAATCAAGTCCTTCCATTGATTGTACTTTTGAAAGTTTTAAGACTTGTTTGCACTTTCGTGACAAGTTTTAGGACTTGTTTGCACTTTTTTAAAGTTTTAGGACTCAAATGCACTTTCATGACAAGTTTTAGGACTTGTTTGCACTTTTTGAAAGTTTTAGGACTCAATTGCACTTTCGTAATAAGTTTTAGGACTTCTAGTGCACTTATCCCTTCTTTTTAGGTTAATACCACGAAACACCATAAACTGGTACACATGTAACAATTTTACCCTGAGCTAATTTTTTGATCACCAAAAATCCAAGCTGTGACAATTGTACCCCGAACTAATTTTTTGACCACCGAAAATCCCAAACTGGTATACCTATGACAAATTTACCCTCCGCTAGTTTCCGTTAAATTTTACTGTCAAATTACTATGTTTGATTACACGTGATAGTTGACGGGTGTACCAGTTTGGGGTTTTACCCCTTTGTTTGTAACAAGTTTACCAATTTGTGATTTTTCGTGATATTAATCCAATTTAATGGACACTAACAGAGGGTAAATTTGTTACAAATGTATCAGTTTGGGGTTTTTAGTGGTTAAAAAATTAGTTTGGGGTAAAATTGCCACAGGTGAACCAGTTTGGGGTTTTTGGTGGTCAAAAAATTAGTTCGGGGTAAAATTGTCACAAATGTACAAGTGTGGGATTTTTTATGGTCAAAAAAATAGTTTGGGGTAAATTTATCACAGGTGTACCAGTTTGGGGTTTTTGATGGTAAAAAAATTAGTTTGAGATAAAATTGTCATAAGTATACCAGTTTGGGGTTTTTTGTGGTATTAACCCTTCTTTTTATTGCCAACTTCTACTCAGAAAGCTTACGACACACTCAATTGTTGCAGAGATGGCTTTCGTGCTTCAGTTTAGTAGCGCAGAGGATCATTACACTTGTATTGTGCTTTGGTTGTTACTCACTCATTTCCTCAGCATGTTGAACGAGAACTACTGGAAAAGGGTCAAGATGCATTCATCACAAAGGAAGTTTAAAATCTATATTTGTTGGTTGAAATCAAAAGTCGATCATCCATATCGAACCGCATCAAAGCGATATCCTAATAATTTTTTTGTGTTAATCAAATGCCGACGACCCTAAACAACAGGTGGGATGGTTCATGAGATGTCTATCAGATACCAGTTTTAGTATAAACTAAAACTCAAAACAGCACATCCATGTCGGAGCAGAATTTTCATTTCATAAAGCGATCACAGACATATATATGCTTTTAGATTGCAAATAAAAAATGAGATTTTCCAAAGTCTGTGATATCGCAATACCAAAGCTATCAATACCAGAAAACAGGATGCAATGTACTCAGCAGACAGATGCCCCTACAGCAACCCTTCGAGGCATTTGGTTGCTTCCAAGCTCGCGCGAGACGAACGACGGAGCATTCCCTGTGGGGAACAGAGAAATGACGACTTTTCCCCGAGCCCTTCCGGTTTCTAAGTATCGAAAAGCTTCAATAACATCTGTAAATGCATAAGGTCCGGTAGGATCGATGATGGCCTTGAGCTTTCCGTTCTCTAAATAAGGCCTAAGCATCTCCAGGTTTTCTCCAGAAACTGTCAAGCTTGAATAGACTGCCCTTGGATGTGATGGAGGCCAGGTTATGTCAATGATCGGAGCTTCATCCTTAGCCACTACAAAGGAGTTCTTGCAGTCCCCTGAAGAAGTCAAGAGATAATGTTGAAATAACATTTAGACACAACTAAGCGTCATTTTAGTTACTGATCTTCCGGTGGTCAAAGCAATCTCTAGAAGCCACACAACCTCTTTCTTATCCCTTCTAAAAACTTCATGGGATTTATATATGGGCCACTGTCACTGGAGACATAAGTTGATGGCACAGACATAAAACATCAGTTGTTTAAGGTACTCGAACTTTTTGAGTCTCCTACAACTGACGGTGCTCATACAAAAGAATTGCTCCACCACCAGTGAACGTGACAAAATTTCAGATGACATGATCAATTCAAAAAACAGGCAATGTCATCTACTGCGAGGAAATTGCCTGAGTAGTATGAAGTACCAAGGTAAAACTAGCAAACGAATATTGGTTGTTCAAGGAACTCACCGATGGTATCATAAAGAAAGTCAAATTTCTCCTCAATTTCTTCATACTTGGTATTTGTGTAGTCGATAACTTTGTCGGCACCCAGTTTCTTGACAAACTCCACCTTTGCTGAGCTACATGTTGCCACAACATAGGAAGCACTGTAAAAGTGCTTGGCCAGCTGAACAGCTAAAGTCCCAACACCACCCGCACCTCCAACAATAAAAACTGTCTGTCCCTCTTTGAAACCTGCTGTTACAAACCCTTCAATTGCAGTCTCAACAGCTAACGGCAAACTCGCGGCTTCCTCAGATGATAGGTTCTGGGGCTTCATTGCCACCAGGGTCTCCTCCACCGCAATAAATTCTGCCAGTGTCCCGAGCTGCTTCAGCTTTCCAGGAGCATTGAAATCCTGAATATTCCCATAAACTGCATCGCCTAAATCAAACTTGGTGACACCAGTGCCTTTCGCCACCACCACACCTGCCATGTCACAGCCTGGAACCACCTGCATCCCATATCAAGCAATGCATCTAGATTCACGACACCGCTTGTTCTAGGGTAATGACATGCTCAGGACTTTGATCGATTGTGGATAATCGTGACTTGTTTTACTAGTAAAATCAGCCTAAAGGCGAACTCGTTAACAAGAGCTGCCTGATTTACAATAACTAACATAGAAGTGTCCACGGTTCTCCAAACAACATGCTGTTTTCATTCCACAAGCAAATTTCCCATTCTCTGGAAAATTAATAAATTCAAAATTAGTCACAGTCAACCTACATGCACATAGAACTAGCCAGCTTAACAGGAATGCCGCCAACAATGTACTAGAGCAAAGTGTGGCCAGCAAGATAGGAAAACAACAGCACATCAGTAAGTATGAGAGATAAACACATAAAAATATCATCTCTTTGCTTTACTCCCTTTCTCTCTCACAACATGTTCAATCATTTTACTCACAGGAAAGTCCGAAGGAAAGATGGGACGCTGGCGTCTTTTAAAATCAATCGGATTTAAAGCAGCAGCTCGAACTTGGACAATTATTTGATTATGGTGGGGAGTAGGAAAAGGGAAGTCTCCCAGCTTGAGAACTTCCTTACTTCCATACTCTTCATAAAACCAAGCTTTCTGCATATTTGCTCTACTAAAATATAAAATTACATCTCCTTGATATATATAGAGGAATCTATACGACTTGTAGTGCGAGATTGTCCTAAAAATGTTGTGATATGACATGAGATAAAGTAGGTGGTCGTATTTGCGGTGAGGAATGTGCATAGTGGATAGTGGCTAGTAGATAAGATGACGAAGGCAGCCTCAATGAGAAATCACTAATATCACGACGATCTTGTCTTGTTAGAGATACTTCCAGTAATGGGGCCAAAATCTATATTTTCTTCTTAATTGAAAGAGACGCTGCTTGTTGGGGCATAAATTTATTGCTGGAGATAGCTGCGTGAAGAGACCTCGTTCAGTAAAATATCTCAATGATTGACCAGACACTTTAACCATAGAAAAGCAACTATGGCTGAGCACTTGATTGCATGGTTCAAACTTGTAACTAGAAAGACATGGACTTCATAATATATATTGTCAAACGGGGAAGGTTCTACTGGACACTAATCAATTACGGACAGTATGAGCTGCCTCTATACTATCTTCATTTTAACAGGGTAAAGATGTAAGCTCTCCTTATCAGATGAATCCATAGCCTATAGGTAATCTACAGACTAAACCCAAGTCTTTTCGTGAAAAATGAAAGTCAAATAAAATACCCAGTAACTGCTACATCACAGTGACCCAATTCAGCTGTTTGGCTCACTTCAGATGGTTCTAATCAGTGACCACTGCTTATCGCCACTTGCCATCGTTCTAAAATCACCTCATGCACAGAGGAATAACCTGAGAGTTAACGCAGAATTCAGCAGGCAATTCTAGCTCTGCCGTTGATATTGCCCTCTTTAATTTTGGCCTTCATTCAAATGCAACAAGAATGGCATAACTTGACCCACGGTGGCAAAATGAGAGCTATCCACACTCTCAGAAACATTAATTTCAGAAAACTCTGAAGGTGTGGCAGCACGTGTGCCCTCAATGCACACTTTTAAAGCAGGGAACCAGTCACTTAAGCACTTACTAATATTTTCTTTGGAAGAATAACCGAGATTAGCCTATTTTGCCACTAGTTCAAGCCCCGGGTTACCTTAATTAAAGTGGCACCCTCCATTTTTTCTTTTCTTATGAAGTAGACGGTGATTGATAGAGTAGCGCGGTCATCAGGGAGAATATGCGGAAATTCCTCTCGCTTCCACTGATTACTCGACCCTCATAAATCCCCTTTTTTGGCTTGAAGTTTTGCTTGATCAACCGGGCCAAAAGCGTACTCCAAGAGTGGTTTATCCATGATCCAACGATCTAACCAAAATCTCGCCACCTTGCCATTGCTTACCACCCACTTCACCGCTTCATTCACCTTGTTCCAGCTGTTCACTATTCCCTTCCAAAGATAAGAAGCTCCCTGAGTAGGTTTCTCCAGTTGCCTTGGAGTTTTGGGACTCCTAAACAAATTGGGTTACACTTCTTAAAGTCAATTAACGCGTGACGTGGTGCTATGGTGAACGATGAGAGAAATGGTTTCGTGGATAAGAAGAAGAAAAGCTAGTCATGCGTCTGTTTAATGGAGGCACCAGGAAAATTAAAAGTCTTTTTCACACATTCCTTGCGATAACTTATCACTATCAATATTGAAGTTCATGTAATAAACACCGAAGGAGAAGGCCGGTATTCAAGAGAGTATGAACCATAAGTAATGCCGGCCCCGATGGCCACTCGTTGCATCATCCATCTTTTCATGGAGAGAACCCGTGATATGATGTGCACCAACCAGTCCTTCCAGCACCAAAACAAAATCTTAAATTGTTTTAAGTAGAACTGCGAATGCATCCGATATCACAATGAGCCAGGAACGGTGAAACACCAGAACTAGAGCAACTGCTCAGGTCACAGGTACACCAGATAAAGCGGGGCATACATGCAAATGAATCGAGATCGTATCTCTGTCAGTCCTCAGGCAGAAAAGATACAAATCCGCCTAAGGCTGCGTGAACTTACGTACAGAAAAGGAGATCTTGAGAAATAATCATGTGGACCATCCATGACTATAATCTTGTCCAACAAAAAATAGAAATAATCTCAATCTGTGAAAACTCCACCTTTCAATCTAACGACAGATAACCTTCCGTTTCGAATTGAATCATGCATTTTCATGACGAATCACATCACCGCTTCTTCGTCGTGAAGCAAGAATCACATGAACTCAACCCATCGGCTATCTCCAAGCACGAGCCATGAGGGGCCACGTTACTATCAAACCGGCATATCCTTCATTGCAACATCCCATTCCATGCCGAAATACAGAGCTTCCCCATCATTCTTCTTCAAGAATTCTTTGTCCGGGGACCACTTCAACCTCCAAGGGCAAAGACCAGCCACTAAAGATGAGGCTTTTCATGCGAGACAAACCTCGTGCCGAAGGAAACGACGAAAGTTGCCAAGAACCAAACAACTTTTTCTTGTTTTTTGGTCTAAAAGAACCAAACTACTTAAACACAAGAAAACGAAAGGAGATTTTTTTTCTTAGGCATTACGTCCAACAGGTTCACGCGCGAAGGTCTGTAGCCAAATGAATCATCGGCCAGTTTTGTAGCGAGCAGAAGTTTGTGGGTTGACACGAGTTGGTGACTCTTTAAGGTTAAACAACTCCTAAAAAAACAAATATTTCGTGGAACGGTGGTAACTTCGGAACAATCAAATTAACTTGCTAAATGGCTCCAATAAGAGTAAGTAAAGCTCAAATTAATTGGTAACCAAATCAATGAAAAGTTGATAAATCACTAAAATTATTGAAATGATTGTTTTCTTCGAAAATATAAAATTAACTTAATGAATGACTCAAATAAGAGTGGGTAAATCTAAAATAAGAGTTGGAAAATCACTCAAATTAAGGTGTGTGATTTCATGTAAGAGTTTGTAACTTCTTTGACAACAGGTTGGGAACTTGAACGACTAAATGTTCGTAAATTGTTGTAAAGTTTGTTAACTTCGAAACAATCAAATTAATGTTGCTCAGTGACTCGAGTAAAAATAGGTCAAGTTACGACTTGTTGGTAACTAAATCGGAGAAAAGTTGGAAATGTGACTCACATTAAGATCAATTATTTCGTATGAGAGTCGATAAGAACTCAATGTAACTTTAATAAACAAAATTTCAACAAATAATTAGACAGTTAGCAACTTCAAAACAATCAAATTAACGATGTTAGATGACCCAAATAAGAGTGGTAAAGCTAAAACGAGTTGGTCTTTTAATCATATAAAAGTTCGTAAATCATCTTAATGAAGGTTAGTTAAAATATGTACAAGAGTTGATAACTTCATAACAGGTTGGTAACTTTAACAAATAAATTGTTAAAATAGCTTTCAGCTTTGAAACAATCAAATTAACATTGCTGGATGACTAAAAGATGAGTCGGTAAAGTTAAAAATAGTTGGTAACTAAATTGGATAAAAGTTGGTAAACCACTTAGGCTACGTTTGGTAGTCGGGATAAAATTCAAGATAGGATAAATTTTATCATATCCCGTGTTTGGTGCCTGCACAAGATAGGATAAAGTCGGATATAGCCCGGATAAAATTATCCTATGGGGATGGTGGGACAAAGGTGGATACGATTTCTAATATCCATAATAAAAAAGTTATTTTTAACGAATAACAAACTTGTTAAATTAATAAAATTAAAATAAAATTTGAAAATAAATAAAATTTCAATTTTAATATATAAAATTCAAAATAACAAATAAATAACAATAATTTCATTTTTATTTATTCTTATTTTTATTTGTATATTCCAATTTTTTTATCTTATGATATAAATTCCATATATATAAATAAATACATTTAGTATGTATATTTTTATTACATATTTTAGGTATATTAGTATATTTTAATATTTAATAAATTTTTAATAGAGAATTATGGAAGGAGAAAAAAGAATTCAAAAGAAAGGGAAAATAATAAAAAAAAAAAAAAGCAAAAAAAAATGAAGTAAATAAGAGTGTCGTGAGAGATTTTATCATCTCCGTTTATGCAAACTTTAAGTTTATTTATATTGATATGACGTTTATAGCAAATAATGGACATTGTAAGATGTGAAAATATCTGACTTTATTTTTTGCGATTTACCAAACAACAGATGGGATATATCAAATCCCTAAGATTTCATATCCTATCTTATCCAGTCCTATCCTGAGTATAAATCCAGATGACCAAACGCAACCTTAGATTAAAGTTGGTGATTTTGTAAACCAGTTAGTAACTCTTTAATTGGTTGGTAACGTTAACAAACAATTGTTGGAAAGTTATTGGATAGATTGTTAACTTTGAAACGATCAAATTGATGCTTTTAAGTGACTTAAATATGATCATGTAAAGTTAAAAATAGTTGCTTACTAAATTGAAGAAAATTATTCGAATATTTTTTAACTTCGAAACAATCAAATTCACGTTATTAAGTTATTCAAATAAGAGAGCGTAAAGTTAAAATTAGTCGGTAAGTAAATTGGATAAATTGATATATTTCAAATTAAAGTTGGTAATTTAATATTAGTGTTGATAACGCTTCAACATGTTGGAAGCTTTGACAAACATATGTCGGTAACTTGTTGGAACGGTTTGCTAAGTAACTCAAATAAAATAGGGTAAAGCTCAATCGTATTGGTAACTTAATCGGATAAAAAGTGTTAAATCATTCAAATTAAGATTGGTAAATTCAGACATTAGTGAATAATTATAACACATCGATAAGTTATTGAAATTAATGTTGATAAATTTTTGGGATAATTGATGGTACTTTAAACTGTTGGCAGGTTCTAATTTGTTACAGAGCAAGCAAATTTCCATCAGATTTTTCTTACAAACAGGCTTTAAAATTTACCAACATTGCCAAAGATTTATCAGCACGAAAATATTTTCCGATTTTATATGTACAGTGTAATCTTCCTAAGTAATCAAAACTTTCCATCAATGTCTCTGAGAAAGCTTATGGCGAAGTTGAAGGATCAAGCTGATATAAACTAGAGCTCGTAGCATTTCCAATTACACCGGCAAATCTGTCATTTGCCGGTGCACGGATAATAATTAAATCAAATGAACAAGTAATGACCAATAGTGTGTAAGATAAATGAGAAAAGATGCAAGAACGAACCAACAACACCTACTAATCGTCATTAAGAAGAGATTCCCGAAGGTTTCCACCCGCAAGCAAATTGAAGAACGGATCTTCAACGTTGCTGCTTTTCACATCGGTTTTGTTTGAATTGAGATCCACATTACTCGATGACGAAGGTTTCTTTATAGAAACAAAGGCCACCTTCTTGGTTCCAGACTTCACATTCAAAGGGTCTGAACTCAGTGACGGACCATCAAGAAACCCGCCATCCACGGAGAACTTGTTCTCAGGGGTTCGTGCAGTTGTCGCATTATGGCCCTCCTCGCTCAAGACATTACCCTGTTTCTCACGGCCACTAGGCACGGAGACATTGGGAGTAGATCCATTCCCATCCTCTTCAACCTGAAGCAGCGCTTGCTCAACAGCTTGACCCATCTCAGCCTTCTGAGGGACTGAGTCACATTCATCTGCAAAAGAGGCAAAGGATTTGAGAACATAGAGAAACAGAACTAGAGAACAATAAGGGAAGATGAGAGAACTATTTCAATGAGCGAAAGTTGAGCAAATTAAGGCTGCAAGCCACAGATTGCTGGTCAAATCACCCCGCAAAACAAAAGCCAAAGAGCACAGTATCTAAATATGGCAAAATAGGTCCACAAGCATAGCCCTTTGCTCAAAATTACAGATTGCCATGCGATAAGCTGGAGAAGCTAAAACATAGAGGATGGAACTCCTTTTGGTGGCAGAAAAAGGGAAAGAAGCAAGAAGGAAGATGACCATAACGGTGTACTGAGAAAGCTCGTCAATCACATTAGGAAACACCATGAATATCTTAACCTTCAAGAAAACAGTCGATGCTTCTATAGTGTATTGCCGGTGCCCCTGGTGAAGCATTTGCTCTGTCACCATCCGAATTGCTACCCTCATTCTTGTATGTGCTTTCAAGCAATACAAACTTATCAGTCTTCCATACACACTCTAGCATTATATGATCTTGATGTGTTGGATAAAACTCCCTAAAAACCTGCATCAATTAAAAGGAATTCGTTATCATAAGTGAAGTAAGCATTGAAGATTGATTTAATCTTCAGAGAAAAGTTCCTGACTCACCTCAATTCCTTCATGCGTTAATTTTACAGACTGCTTTTTCTGCGAAATAGAAGAAACAATGTTGAATACTGAAGCAACATCCAGTAATATCTGCAAGTTACGAAAGCGACAATCAATTCAATGTGACAATCCCTATTACCTTCTGTCATGGCCTCTGAAGTGTCTAAACTTTGTAAGAAAGCATATGAAGAATGATCGGCATCTAAAAGAAGCAAACTATGAATAGATCTCTTGTTTGTTGCCTTCAGCAAACACAAACTCTATTAGAAAGTCTGACTTCATTTATAGGTATAATGGAAAGGGAAGGATATTATTTGGTAAAATGCAGGATATATGATAAACCGATCTTAGATTACAAAAGTCGAAACACCAAAAATAAGATATCGGAGAAAAATCCCCACAACCCACCCCATCTTTTTTCTTCATTTGTAAGCAAGATTTTTTTCTAGTCAGTAAGGGCTAAGAAAGGATATATTTATTAAGCACTAACACATGATATGAAGTATGTTCCTATCTAAATCGCATGGCATCGAGATATCACCAAAAGATAAATCAGGTATAACATTCAAAAGGATATGATATACTAGGTGAGAAAGCAGCATAGAAACAGAGAAGAGTTCTCCTGTGTCCTCCCCCTTCTGCCAACATGTTTTACTAAAGCTGAAAACCCAGGTCCATCAGTTCTGTTTAGGTTTTGAATAAGCATTCAAAGCTATGGCTTCTAATTCACTTGGAATGGCAACTTTAGCAATGGTTCAAGTCACAAAGTCTGGAGTTGGTTAAATCTGGTAGAGATGTTCTTCCAGTCTGACCATATGGTCCATAACCTTTTCTACAGTAGAGTTAGATCTTTTGGCTGAACTATTCTAGTCAATGCTCCAACAAAGCTCGCGATTAGAACAAGACATATCTGTCAGCGCCATCGCCGCATCAGCACATATATAGGCAGCCTACGTAAATTACCATAATGTTCTCAAAGGCCAAAAGCACAAAGAGGACTGAACTACCTCAACAGTAGAATAAGGAAGAAATACGTACTTGCTGAACCAGTACTCTGAGACGCGCTAGCAAAGACAAGATTGTCATAGAAAATCCCATGAAAAATGATCGAGCAAGTAAGATCGATATCTCGCTATTTAAAAGTCAAGAGTACAAATATTAATTGGACATGTATCCATTAAATGAATATGCTTTTCTGCCTTTGCCAAAATTAAGATGCAAATGAATTTGTTGGATCTTGCCAACAGAAGAAGGATACCATGCTGCCTTCAACATTGGTTCAACCATCTGCACAGAAACATAGCACAATGAAGATATCCACATATATAGAGAGGAAAGTGAGCCATTCATAACAAGTTACATTGACTATTTGAGGTTGAAGGAGAGTCCAATATTTAGCTTAATTTCAGGTTTGCTCAAAATTAGTGTTTGATAATGGCATTGAGCTTAATCAATCGCAAACGGGTGGAGCATCTTGTTGAGTCAGGTCAAAAAGAAGGAAGGGGGTCAAAAAAGAGAATGATCGGATAATACCTGTGACAGTAGTCGTGCGACGCCATGAAGTTGTTCAATGAAATTAGGCTTCCCAACATCACACTTCCTCCACTTTAGACTACAGCACAAAACTGACATTAGAAGTATCAGATAAAATTATCCATTCATGGTTCAATTTAAAAGTAATGCATGTAGCAAGCTGCTGAAAATTGCTAAAAGATCATACGCAAGAAACATGGGAAACATGACCGCAATCTATTGTAGTGATCCCTGATCACCTCTTAAGGCACACACTAAGAGCTAATTCCCAAAATGGGTACTATTGCATCGGGTAGATCAAGATTAAAAGCAAAAAATTCCCATGCCCACAACATTTTGAGAAAGCTTAACGTACCTTTCTAAAAGATGAACTTTCTGTTTGGGCTTCTTTCCTGTTATCACTTGAAAGCAAGAACTCAATAACTCTTCCAGCTTAGCTGACTGCAAAAGCCTGAGATCCCTTCTTACCTGAAACAAGCATACTTGTTATTCAAAATTACAAGATAGTGGATCTTTAGCTAGTCAAAAGATAGACTTTGAGTGCATTGGTTTAAACCTTTTAGGCTGCCTAAACAAAACCACCAGTGAACACTTAAGATCCACGAATCATTCATCTATTCATCTAAACTTTAATCTCTCCCTTTCATTCTTTCAATTAAGACATTTTTCAAGTTCCATTGCCTTAAAACGAGCTTGAAAACAGGTCATGACACAAGTCAAACGGTGGGGGAAAAAGGAACCTTCAAAAGATACTGGAAATAGGAGCAACGCCTATGCTGGTTCTTGTTTTTGTACACCATCCTTTCAAGAATGGCATATTCCGCATGGAGCTGGACCAAGGAAGACTTCAATCTCTCCTCGAGTGTTTCAACCTCCGAACCCATCCTGTCCCGTGGATGATCCTTACTTAGTATGCTGTCATGGAGATGTGAGCAAGCTTGGCAAGATAAGCCTAACACGGGGAATGTCCTGGCCCAATAACTTGAGTGTCACAATCACTCAAAATCTGAATGACCCAGTTCACTCGGGAATTGAAGCAAACACAGAGTCTGCACACAACACGAAAGGCCGGTCACACTCACAGCTCAAAAAGGTAAAAAACAACCCAGCTCGAGAACTCGAACAAGCGCATCTTTAGTTGAAGTCACGCAAAAAATCACGTCGACCCTGATAAGCTATATGTATGCTGCTGAATCCACTGATTTAAGTCAGAATTATCAATCCAGTTAACAAGGACTAGGGCTGTCAAATGGGTCGGGTCGGGTCAGGTCGGGTTTGGGTCGGGTCGAAAAAGGTTCGACCCAAATTGACCAATTTTTATGCAATACAAATCTATGAAAACTAGTAACCACCCATTTAACTCACTTTAAGCTATTCATGTGTATATGTTACTTGGATTAAAATTTCATATCAAATAAAAAAAAAAAGTAAATTAGCACAATAAAAAATTGCTAATAAACAAAGTAAAAAACATAAAAAAAATTTGCAAAAGTCCGGAAAAAAGAAAAAATTCAGAAAATTTTAACAAATTGCAAAAATCATATATGTCAGCGCTACTAATTCCTTTAGCAATACATTTAGCAAGTTGAACACGGTATCTATAACATTCATATTAAGCACTTGACCAATCAATCTCAACTATGGCATTCTGCTTCTCTACTTGACTTTTTTCCCTTTTAAGTCGTTTGCTCGCTAGTTATGCGTAAGCAAAAGGCATGATGTTTTCTTTAAGGCCTTATGCACGTCAGTTACTCTCTTGTAATGTTTCTTTTGCATATCCAAATCAAGCATTTGGCTATCATTTCATTGTTTATTCTCAATTCCTTTACAGCTCTTGTTTCTTCTCAAATCGCACATACGTGTAGCTCACATGCTCCAGACACCAATTTTTTTTTTTTTTTTAATGTTTGCAACAAGCATGCACTACTCACGTATACCATCATCGGTAGCCTCATATCAAAATAGTACTCCCAGCATTCTCTTCTCTTTTCTTCAGCACCCCGCGATCTCAAAGTAACTTCCATTGGCAACATTCGACATACACAATCACACATGAACAGGATTCGATACACATATAAACACTTACGAGCAGCATTCAACATACATCACCTGCATTTCCAATTCGTTCGCATTCCAATCAACTATACACAGGAAACCCAGCAAGACACAACCAACGCAACTTCAATTGGGCAGCTCTTGGTCTGGTTCGACCGTCTCTGTCTTTTCTTCATCACAAACGAAGAAATCGGGGTCACTACGGGAATGGCTAATCTCAAAGCCGTCAACCAATTATAAACAACCGGAGCAATCAACTCGCGATGAACAAAACAACCTCTAACACCCATCCAATCGAACCAACAAACGAAGCGGCGCACCCTCAAGAACTGCCAGATTAAAAGCAAGAATCGAAACCCTAACCTCAAGAAAAAAGCTCGCTTTCCTCCTTGGCAAGCAGGGGCGCAGTTGAAGATCCTCGGAGGGATACTTGGCGGTGACGCCACCGACCTCGACGACCAAGTTCTCGCCGCGCGACTTAATTCCCGACGATCGACCACCACTCGAATTACAGAAGAAGAAGAAGAGGAACCCCGGATTCCCTCCAGTTCGGCGATTCGACCCCTCACGATCCTCCCCCGCGATCTTCTCCGAGTAGGCGGCGGAGGCGGAGGCGGCGGCGGCGAAGTGAAGTCGTGAGTCGCGGCGGAGTCGGTGCCGCGAAGAACAGAAGAAGAAGGAAGAAGGTCCGTGAGAATGAGCCAGGCTTTTTGCTTAACAAGCGTGGAATAGACCGGATGATTGGGCCGTCCCAGGCCCGTTAAGGCCCAAAAATCAGGGCCCGTTTTGGTATCGAACGAGGTGGGCCAGGCCTTCTCGGCCCGATCGAATTATTCGCTCCTCCCGGCCCAAGATAGTCTAGATTGATAGAAATATAGATCAACGTTTAGAAATTGGGTAGACAATAAAGAAAAATTCGAGGAAAAAGCAAATAGCACGAACAGATTGATTACATGTGAACATTCAGAACCGAAAAATCCCGGAAAAAAACCAATATAAGGAAAATCATTGAAATTAAATTAACACCGAAAAAATCCGTCGAAAGGAAAAAAAAAGGAGAAAAGGAAACGAAGATAGCATAGTTGAACCAAGTGAGATGTGGAGATTGAGGTGGTGAGACGAGAAAGCTTGGGGAAGTGAAAGGTGGAGCGAGAGTTAAGAAATGGAGAGAGAGGAGAGGTGAGAGAAATTTCTTGGTGTTTGAAGGAATGAGATTAGAAGTCTCTTTAGGATTTGAAAATAAAGGGCACCTCACTTCTTAAACATATCGCAGGCGAGGCAGGGCGAGGCCGAGCCTTTTTGTCCGGTTGCCTAGGCTTGGCCCGAGTATTAACCGAGCCTCACAATTTTCACTAGGCCCGCGTGGGCGGGCCTATTCCTCCGTCTAAGGTCTGTCTACATAATAGGCGGGCTGGTCGCTAGCTCATCGGACGGCTGGATTCATGATCAGGTCTAAGCAGAGGCAATGACATCGCAATTATTGTACTTTTACTCTGTTTCCGATTAAGTATTTGAACTTATTTTGTTGGTCAAATTAAATAACTGAAGTTTGGAAATGTTACTAAATGTGATACTTCCGTTAAATAACTTGCCATGTCATCAACTTTTCGCTGACCTGGCTTGTCCACTCAGCAAAAATTCTGCATGCTGATGACAATGATTGCCAACACAATACCAGCACAATGGGGTAGTTGTAGATCTGCGATTTTCCCTTCTTTTTTTTCCTCAATTTTCTAGCTTTCTATATAGCTATGTCTCTTGTTAATTGCGAAATTTTTCTACTTGTTCGAATTCCCTCCAGCCCCACCCCCCCTAGGGGTGTCAATGGATCGGGTCGGGTCAGGCTTTCTTGATACCCGACCCGACCCGAAACTTACAGGGTCGTGCTTGACCCGCCCAGACGCACCCGAGACCCTGTTCACTAGGGGTGTCAACAAAACCCCGGCTGACCCGGCCCGGACCGCCTCGGCCCGACTTGGCCCTAAAATTTGGGGTATTTTGGGGTCGGGTCTCAATTTGACCCTAAAACTTGTGGTACCATTAGGGTTGGGGTATAATCAGGCCCACCCGTTGACACTCTGGGCCGACCCATTGACTCTCCCTCTCTCAGTCTCTCTCCCATTCTCTCTCCCCTCTTTGCGCGCATAGCACTGCAGGATGAAAAAACCCTAGGTCTGACGTCGTCGTTGTCGACCTCTTCGTCGCCCTCGATCTCCGAATCGTCCTCGTCCTGGAACACCCAGCGGGACTCCGTCGAGTCCATGGACCCCATGCCGACCACCGCCTCTCCCCTGTCCGATTCCCCGTCCTCCGCCATACACTGATCAGGTGGGTGAAGAAGTTCGAAGTTAAGTACCCTGTCGTCGGTCGCGTCGTCTCTATCTCCTCGGCTTGTGCGGATGTCGATGGCTTCGATTGGATTGCTAGGGCTTGTAGCGCGAGCTTTGCTTGTTTGTTGGGTCTTCGATAATTTGTTTTCGAATCTAGTGATTTGAGTCGGTGCATTGATGGGGGGTTTTGATGGGATATTGGTTTTTTTTTGGTTTGGGGTGACAGGAGGAGCTGCAGAGGACGAATCTGGAGCTGGAGTCGTATAAGGAGAAGATATAGGAGAACCAAGAGAAGATTAAGCTCAACAAGCAACTCTCCTACCTGGTCGGCAACATTGTGAAGGTAACTTTTCGGAATTGGTTTGACTGTAAAACGGGTTTGATTGAAGGGCTCTTGTTGTGCTCGTGATTTGGGGACTGTCCCTGACAAATCTCTGTTGAAAATTCGGGGTGTGGCAAGTTACGTCTCGCATGATGTCTTTGTATTTTGGGCGATCGAGGTCTTTTCTCCGAGAGTTTATAGGCGTAGTGTGTTTTCTTGGGCGATGAGTGATGATAATGTGTTCCTCGTATAATATGCTCGTTGTCTCCTTCTTGCTTTGAGTTATCCTCCGATTGGAATTTATTGTGCTTAAAGATTCTTGAGATGAACTCGAGGATGAGGCGAGGAAGATGGTGCCAATATTGATCCGGACTCGCAAAGGAAGGGCAAGTGTGTCGTCCCGAAGACATTGACACGGCGGGTATGGCTTTTGGGAAGAACACAAAGCCTTGTTGGGTTCACTTGCGGCACCGAGTAGTTTTAATGGGGTCGATGATGAACCCCGAATTACCCACCCAAGGTGACGCATGAACGAAACTCCATGGACATTGCTTTGTCACTTGGTTTATGATGTCTATTGATATTGTATCATGGCCAAGCCTTGTCCATTGTGGTTTGGAACTTCCTTCATTTCATGTATATTGTACTTTTGAACTTGTCCTTCAAAGATAAGAGAAAAAAAAAAGAAAGCTGAACTTTTGTACCGAAGGAGTGCTAACAATTAAATTCAATTTTTCGGTAAGTTGATTGTCTATCTTAGGAAGAAGAGCGATGAAAGGAAGATTTTCAAGGAGACTTGGACAAAGGCTTTCTTTAGCGGAATCGATTTCTTTTCTTTTCCTTTCCTTTGGGGGTTGGGGGATGAGGAAATGAGGAATCTTTGTTATATTGTATGCTTGATGCGGTTGGTATCCCTTCCTAAAACTAGGATTACGAATAATCATTGAAAAATTGACACAAATTTTTTTTTCATCCGCCTTTCATGATTTTGCACTCTTATCATATGATCTTGTTATTTAAGCTTTTCAAGGAGATTCTTTGAAGCTCTACTATCATTGGAGCAGTTATAAGTTAACTTGTCGTATCCCATTTTACCAATCCGTTCTTGAAGTTAATTTTTTTGCTGTTATAGAATTCTGTCAGACGGTCTCTTGATGGATATCCTATCTCAGCCATTTTGTGCTTTGAACAGATTGTCAGTGTCCCTAGGCTAATAGATAGAAAATATTTACAGTTTTGTAGAAGATAGATAACCTATTCGTTAAGTGCCTGATTAACTGGATGTTAGAGCTTCACATACTTGCACTTGCTAGATGACGAAATATCTGAATTTTTTATTTCCTGAAAGAATGGTTCCCTGGAAGGTTGATGTATATGTTTGTTACTCAAGACTATTATATTTACTTATTGATGCCAATAGTAGATGTTATTATCAGGCTCACTTGAATTGATGTTTTCTTGTAGCCTTTGTCTTTGTCCATAGAATGGAACAATGTGTTTTGCATCTCTTTATGCCTCGAGGTAGAGGCCTATTGCTTCTTCTTTGAAATGAGCTCACTGGTAACCTAGCCACGGGGGATTACACTGCAGCGCGAGTAAAAATTGCTAACAAACTTAGTACAAGAATGTCTCGCTTTCACTTATTTCTGTTTATGCTTTTTTAATTCGGAAGCCAGATGGATGAACGCCTTAGAGTTGGTTCCTTGCTTGCAGACAAACTTCAAGCATATCAAACTTAGAGAAGGAAGTTATGCGAAGCCCGAAAAAAAAAAAAAAAAAAAAAAAAAAAAAAAAAAAAAAAAAAAAAAAAAAAAACCCCCAAACCCGACCCGGCCCGGCCCAACCCGGGCCTTATGGTGTACGCTGAACAGGGTCTGGGGCCGGGTCTGGGCGGGTCAAGCCGGACCCTATTGGTTTCGGGTCGGGTCGGGTATCATGAAAGCCTGACCCGACCCGACCCATTGACACCCCTACTGTTCACCGTACACACCCAAGAGAGGGTCGGGTCGGGTCCGGCCGGGCCGGGTTTAATTTATTCTTAGACGGTTTTGAGGTCAGCAGCAAGTAAACCCCCTTCGGAGATGGCAAAGTGCCATCGATGAGGATGATGTCAAAGTGATCCCGGTGGACACGTTCTTTCTCCGCACGCCTCTGTCTCCAACATCTTCTCCGCCTCCACCAGCGGCGAAATCTCCAGCTCAGCCGCCCCACCCCCCCTAGGGGTGTCAATGGGTCGGGCCGGGTCAGCGTGGGCCAGGCCGGGCCGGCGCGGGCTTTTTTGACACCTCTACCCCCAAAAAAAAAAAAACAAAAAAAAGAAGAAGAATTAGTTAACCAAATTTTTCGTCCACGCTACAGTGGTAGGAGCTGGCAACTACAGCGGCAGAGTGGTCCTCATGACAATTCAATGTATATTCTCGAAAAAATAAGAATGTGAGTTAATTGAGTGGATTATGTTTGGTCAGGTACGAGCCATTCAAATTGGTTACGTGAAAATGGGTTGATTCAGTCCATTAAGGTGGTCGAGAGGTGGCTATAGTGGTGAATCCACAGCTATAGTAGGGAGCAGCAATCGCGACAATTCAATCAATATTCTTAACAATTGAAAACTGTGAATTATTTCAGGGTGTATTATGTTGGGTCAAGTATGAGTCATTGAAATTGATTATGTGAAAACGGGTCAATTTGGTCAACATCTATATCTAACCAGCCTACCTAAACTCGAACTTGCCACATTCATTTGATACCTCTAAGCATAGGCAATAATGGATTCATTCTTTGTTCGGGTACCATCCTACTCATTTGCACTATAAAAAAACACCGGATTAGCGACGAAATTTGCGACGGAAAATGTGGAAAAATTCGATTTGCGACGGATTTTGCGACGGAAAAAATTCCGTCGCTACTAGGTCGTCGCAAAATTTTGTGACGGAAAATTCACAAGTTCGTCGCAAATTTGCGACGAAAAAAAATTCGTCGCAAAA